CGGATTTTGGGCCAACATGAATGAATGGTTCCATCTGCTTCGTTTCGAATGATGTAACCACTCAAGAAATGGCAAAAACACACGTTCATGGTTCCCATTTTGTCGTGATAATTAAATCAAACTTGACACATGGACAATTGACCGACTACCTTCTATACTTTCTAAGTAATAGAGGACAAAAGGGGGAGTTGCCTCAATTTATTATGTAAAACAAATTATTTCACTTCTCATCGTTATCAGTGCTATGTTCATTCTTTTTAATATAAAAGATTTTTATGAAAATAATAAAAAAAAAAGATTCTTTTGTCTCTTTTTTTTTTCTCATCTCTCCCTCCTCTGAAGGAGCCTCTTGCGTTCTAAATTAAGCCTTATATTTTGAAGTAGTAGAACGCCTTATGCCACGCCTCTACATTTTAAAACATTGCAATGAGTTACCAACATGTGAAATTACTCTCAGGTGGTAATTAGATATTTATTAAAAGGCACTGAAAGCCTTTAAAGATTTAGACACTTGGTGAGAGGATCTAGAGCTCTTGTTTCTAATGTGAACATCTCAGGCAAATAGATCCAGATATAAGCTAACTCTGTAGCTAGTGGGCTAGTTAGATAGGTCATAGGTGTAGGAAGGTTGGATTTGTATTTGGGAGCATCCTTACTACCTACCTCAATAAATATTTTTGTATTTGATGAACTAGTCTTTCTAATAGGGAAAGTTTTGTTTTGTGTGTATGTGTTTGCGTTTATCTATTTATTTGATAGTAATATGAAAATGAAATCATTAAAATAAAAGGTATACCAAACCAACATAGCAACACATATGAATATCCATACACCAAGTTACAATAATACTTAAGCAAACCCCAAAATGATCATAAAGCTTGAGAGAACACAAAAGAAACAAAAACAAGACAAGATACATGCTAAGGAATCATAAAACAAAAATAGCAAGTAGACCCATAACTGCCTCTCACACTAGCTAAAAACCAACCTCCTTCCCATTATCCTCAAGGCTATGTTTGGTTTGAAGGAAAAGGTAAAAAAACCTTTACGAGCCTTGTATAAGTTTCCTTTTCTTTCCCTTCCTTTTCCTATTTTTTCCTTCAAACCAAACATAACTTAAAAGAAAAAAAAATGAAAAAAGAAGAACAATGATTCGTAAAAAATAAACATCTCCCCAAAAACCTAATCTGAGACATTGACCAAGTCATGTATAGATCATCTTAGACAAAACTCTGGACTCATTTTAATTTTCAGAAACAGTTAGTTCACTCCCTTACTTCAAGTTCTACAAACATTTTTCTAGCAAATTCCTCGCCACCCAAAAAGAACAACCCCAAACTTTTGCTCACTTGACTTCTTAGTGAACCACCCTCTTAGTATCTGATTTCTTCTTTTCCTGATGCACCTCTTCAATTTGGATCATGGTTCAGGTTTAGAACACTTGAATCTATCACGTTTTCTAATCATAGCCTATTGTCTACATCACTTGAATTAGCATTCAAGCCCACTCCTTCAGTTAGCAACTTCTTAGTCCCTAAGCTTTCCCCAACATGAATCACTGACAACATTTCTGCCACAACATCATTCCATACTAAAAATTGGATTCTCAATGTTTAGAATTGAGACTTGATTTTTAGGCCTGGTACGACTTAAAAGTACAACTTCAAACTCTCTACACCCATCAGCTTTACTGTTTCCATGAATTCCATCTCATACATTTTACAAAAAACTCCCTACACCCAATCTTTTCCACAACCTCCATCCTATTAGACCACTCCTAATGCCTTCTATCGTTTTGTTTAAGACACCTATCATTTTGAACCCAACCATCTCTTTCTGTGGCCGGCCTTATCTTAACACCCCCTCGCTTGTCTCCTCAATTTTCTGGCGTAGTTTCTACAAGTAACACTGTATAATTAGAATGAATATTGAATTTATTTAGAACATTGGCTTCAGGGAACATTTTAATCCATCCTTGAGTCACTAAGCATCTGTCCGACCTTTCTTTCACTCTGTTTTGGCCTTGTTGTTTGTCTATTAGTCAATGTATAATAAGATCCCCTACTCTCCAATTCTACAAGGCCATGGATTTCAACTAGTTGATTGAGAGCATTTGAAGGTTTATGATGTTTTATCCTTGCTTCCTCTTAGTCTTGAATGGATATAGTATCATTTAAATTCCCACACACAGGATCCACTCCAAGCTTTTGATAAAATAAGGAAAGTCTGATAAATTATGCCAAAACTCCCTCCTCTGCGCATGCCTTTATTTGGTAGTCCATAGGTGAAACCCACCAGCTTAAAATTTTAAAAATGAATTATGTTTCTGTAACCTCCACCTCATTTAGTAATTTAGTCATTCTTACAACAAAATAAAGCTCCTGCATTTCCCTGAGCTGCTACGCAAGTGTACTTCCAATATCTCAATTTTTTATTTTCGCTAGAAGGTGATTTTTGGAAGAACATAGTTTAGTGTTTGTTTGGCATCGATGCCATTGCTCTAGAAAAAGGTGATACGGATGGAAAAAACGGTGCTCCAAGAAATGTTAATATGTTTGAAATAGTTTTTTCATAAGAAACGGTGCTTTAAACCACGCCTTGAAAATCGAGAAGGCGTGACTTGTAACAATGTCAAATTTGATATATATTTTTTTTCAGATTGGAGCTCATTGCTGTCAACGAGGACATGATATGGACTTCCTAAAATGGGTACCAGTGCTGAAAACAGATATGGAGCACTAGTACTAAACAGAAGATGTTGCTGTTGCTCCAAGAAACGTCCTACCTGGCAGTAATGTTTTCAAAAAATAATAATAATAATAAAAAACGACACCTTTTTCTCAAAAAATTATACTTCCAATCCACACATTAACAGCATATGAAAACAGATATGCAACATCAATGCCAAATATATACTTAGTTTCTGACAAAAAAAAAAAAGATATATGAGAGTTTTAGGGTTATTACAACTCCTTGCATTTCAGACTTATAATCTCATGATATTACTAATAAGAAAAAAGCAGCAGTGGTAGAGAACAGTAGAAGATAACAGCACACAAACTATTCTTAGGTCAGGACAATAATTTTGTTGTCCAAAGGCATTTATATTGATTCTTGCTCATTCTTATTAAGGATTGAAAAAATAGGCCCTTGGTAGTTAACCAAACATGACTAATTTGATCTTAACTAGCATTTCTGGATGAAATGGGGCTTTAGGATTTGCATCCCAATTAACTAAAAATGCCATTACTTTTCACTCTAATATACTCTCTTATTGTAAACTTCAATGGAAAATGGTTTTAATGTTTGGTAAGGTAGGTAGAATGGATAGCCCAACATGAATTGAATGATTAATTTATAGGCAGTATAATACTTTTTTTTCTTGTAAAAATTATTAACTATTATAATAAATTGAATTATTAAAGTTAATAACTTCTATTTTATTTTGCACATTGGTTTCACTTTTTGCTAGGAATTGTCGTAAAGATGATTTTATTTTTGACACAAAAAAATGATTTGGGCAATCTAATTTGATATGGGCACACCCGGGTGATTTAATTTGATATATCTACAACACATTTTGCATCCCATTATATGTATGGGTATTGACGCAGACACGAGGAAGGGTTTATTATTTATTATTTAGGGGTCCACTATGATATGGAAAAGATATGATATCTGAAAAATCTCTGATCAAACAAATGGAATCATAAATGCGGTAGTTAATCAGGTGTTATTTATCAAAATTCATGGGTGGATTTTGATTGACTAAAACTTTTCCCATACCACATATTTTCCGCATCATAGATTTTTCTTATTATTTGAGCTAGTTTTGCAAACAAAAGACAGTTTATCTGTTAATATTAGAAATTGAATAAGATCTTATATATTCTAAAATTCAGTTGTTTAATCAGCCTACTCTCTCTTGCTTTATTGTCTCCTTAGAATTTTGTCGGTTTTCTATTTAAAAGAAATAGAACATAGGCTACTAATAACTATTTCAATCTGCCTTTTACCATGGAACTTTTAATTGCTTCACTGTAAAATATGGTCATATCAGTCAAGATCTGCTCCTCACACCAATCTTGACAATACATCCCAACCAACCACACATTGGGAACATCTCTCATACTTGTGTTATTGTTATTTATGGGGAGATGTTTTTTTCAGTACATGGTGGGATGTTGTGTGACTTCTGTGTGAGGTGCATTCTGTGAGGAGTAAATCCCCCCTTCTTTTAACACCAACTCCAGTGAGAGATAAAATTACTAAAATACCTATGAATGATAAAGCTTCTTCGAGAAGCAGAGAATTTGAGAGATTGATGATGAGACACGCTCAAATTACTTGCACGTGAAGGTATTTATCTACTCGCACTAGTAAATTCTATTTAGTGCGAAGAGAATACATCCACTCTTTTTTTCACTGTTTATCGTTCTTCTACCTTTTGGATGCAACTAGTGGTGGCAAAGTAGACATTTAAAGTGAGACTACCCCCTCCCCCCAAACGAACAAATGTCTAAAGTTCAAATGAACAGTGAAAAAGGAGAATAACATGGGCACTTTTGTAATCTTATCCCTCAATTTGATGAGTTCGAGTTGGACTTAAAAATACGGTAGAGGGTAAACTATATACAGTTTACCCTAAAAAAATTTTTCATTGATTGGGTTACCTTATAATGCCGAGGGAGCAAGCCGGCAAAGGAAATACACAATCATTCACACAACCAGGTTACTTTTTAACACGTGGCTGTTTATCATTGGTTGAGATGTCGCTTCATTTGCAGTAGAACTGCGCTGTATAATGTGATCCCCAAAATATCCCTACTTATTAATTGTATCGACAAATTGACTACTTTATGTTCGGTTTTGATGCTTCCAAAGTCAAACCCATCCGCGCAATAATCAACGGCTTGGATTTCTTTAAAATCCAACGTGGACGGCAAAGAATTTAGGGGCATAAAAACAATCGTTGCATTTGATTTTCTTCAACCATCTGCTCAAGTATCTTGCCTTGGTCGACGACAAACGTGACGGCGTGATCCACAACCGTTCCTTTTTTCTTTCACACCTTCATCGTTCGACCGCGATAGCTCTCAGACTTCTAATTTGGCAGTTATCTTTATTTTCCGGCGACCCAAAACTGCTGTTACGGCCGATCTCCCTTTCGGATCAACAAAAGAGGTAATCCAGGTTCTTAGTTCTGTCTATTTATTCCTTAATTTAATTAAGTTGTTGTGACAAGTTTGTAGACTCCATTCTTTCTTAAAAATTAAGAACCTCCAACATTATTCTTTAGATTAGATTGTTTCTACTGGTGATTCCTTATTTTTTTCTCTTTTCCGCTAGAGTTTCATATATTCGTGTTCCACTTTATTCATTTATGTGCTTAAATTCGTTTCGTTTTTTGTAATCAAAGCAAATATTAAGCAACTGGGTTTATGATCGGGCTCGAAACAGAAAAGAACAAGCGAAGATTAAGAGGTATTCTGGAATATAATTTATGGTGCCATTTTTGTTCAACTAATTTCCCAAGAAGCTTAAGAGTGGCATTAGTAATTTACTGTTTTGATTTGGTCAACTTTCTAATTTTTGGGTATTTCTTATTTCCCAAGTTTCTGATTTTTGACTCCTAATGGACTACTTCGTTTCTCATTGTGTCTCAGTAACATTGAATTTCCTCCGGTGTAGATTGATCTGAATTATTTCTTTTGCTCTTTATTTAGCTCTATTGCCCAGCATCATGTTTTACCAATCCAGTGTCCGAAACCAGAGACCCAAAGGGCTCAAGTTTAAGCATGCATTACAATCTGCTCTGCTTTTAGCAGTTTGTATTTGGTTGCTCCATCAGATAAAACACTCACACGATAAGAGTAAGGAGTTTGATGAAGCTGTACAAAAGAAGCTCAGCAGTGAGCATGATAGCGTCATTTTGGGGCGTAAAGGGAATGCGGGGTATAGTGAAAGAGTTGGGACCGTTTCTACTGATGGCAATTTGATTGGAGAGGATGACAAGAAAGCAGATGGTGGGGATGGAGATGATGAACTAGACAGGAGCACTGAAGAGAAGGCTGAAGAAGAATCTCTCCAAAAAGGGCGTGAAGATTCACAGGGAAGTTTCACTACTCCTGAGAAAAGACGTGAAGATGATCAAAAGAACCCAGAAGCACAGTATAACAAGGACCTAATGAACAATGAAGAAGATGGCCATGATGTTCAAGTGAAAGATGTGGATGAAGGAGTGGGTTCGGGTGAGGACAGTGAGGAACATAATGAACGGATTCATGGAGTCCATGGTTTTGATGATGAGAACGGGATTCCACCAGATGGGCATGAACTTGTGGTTGTGGATGCCATTGCCAATGAAGAAACAAGTAATGAAAATGCTACCAGTCTTGATGAGGAAACAATCTTGAGTTCAGATAATTACAATATTGTTGCTAAAAACCCAGATCCAATAGCTGAGGGGTTTCGCAATTCATCTCAGATCAATGAACAAAATAGCATTGAGATGCCAACAACTAAGAACATGGTTGTCGAAAGCGAGGCTTTTAGATCTCAAGAAGCCAACGGTACTGCTGAGGGCATTGTTTCAGAGGATTCTAATTCTTTTCCTCCTCAGCAGGAAAAGGAGGAAGTTACAGATTCAAAGATACTACTACCTCAATCTGAAACTGAAGCCATGAGTCAGGAATAATGGCCTTGCTGCTCTGAAAAAATTGATACACTTTTCTATTTTTTCTTCTTTTTTTTGGTTATGAAATGTAAAGTGTTGTAATTTTTTTGTTTATTTATATCTTTTATTTTTTTCATCAATTTTTTTTTTGTTTTTTGTTTTTTTTCCTACCAAGAATCAATTTGGATTTCCTGCCCACCACTCTCTACCACACTCTAACCGCCTTAAATTGCAGCCACACATCGCCATCTTATATGTGTGATTGGATCAGGTTTAATCACAACCCAGGTCCAATTCTAAGAATTGGGAGCAAGGACCAAGCTCAGCCCGAGCTTAAATGTCCAATTCGAGCCCAGCTTATACTGAGATTTGTATGTGCATATATGCATATACGCACACAGGCAAATACGTGTTTATGCATATGTGCATGCTCATAATTGGGCTGTGCTTGAGTTGCGAAAAAGGTGAGATCAGGCTTGAGCTGGGCTTGAACTACCAAGGACTATTTTCAAATTTTTGGGCTCAGGCCCAACCTTAGGACCAAAAATCTAAGTCCAGCCCCTGTAATATTTGTGGGCTGGGTCAGTCCAAGGTCGGGTTGGACCCGCCCAAGGTGTATCCCTATTGTCATCGTGGCAAGAATTAGGTAAAAGTCGGTGATTGTTCAGAAAACGCGGACTAAGCTTTTGCTGGTTTAGCATGTCATAAAATACAAGATGGAAGCAAGAAAATGCAGTTTATTTGTCACACCATAGACATGTGAACAGAAATTGCATTTTATAAGTTTACTATAGAAAGATGATTAATTCATAAGCGTTGCTGATGGAGGGTGATTTGCCCCAACCTCATCATAGGGGGACACGTGGGCGTGACTCAGCATAAGTGACAGCTCAGCGTGACCAGTCCGCCAAGATCCAGCGTGGCAGCTCGGTACCAGATGACACTCCGATTATCCCGAACTCCTCCCAAGTAAAGGAGACCCCGAGCTCCTCCTCAGCAAGGAGACCCCGAGCTCCTCCTCAGCAAGGAGCCCTCGAGTTCCTCCTCAAGAAGGGTACGCCCCGAGCTAAGATTATTCCACGAAAGCATCCCGAGCCAAGGTGCTCCAAGACAGGAATCTCCTGAGCTCAAGGCACTTTGGGGCGAGCTTGGGAGCCTCCTAAAAAATTTATTATGACTCAGACCTAAGTAGGCCACCTCGGGTAGAATCACCTCAATATGGCACCTGCAGCTCGGCACAGGGTAGCTCGGTGCAAGGCAGCTCGGCGTATCACAGGAAGATCTCCCCTGACAACCATACCTACCAAACCTAAGAGGTGTCCCCCGCTTGACAGAGCCGTACCCTGCAACAGTAACCTGCGCAGCCCTGTCAAGTAATGGTTGTGGCAGAGAATCAGAGGCGGTTATGTCAGATTTGACAGGGCACCATTATATAAGAACTCCAACCCCCAAAGAGGAAAGGTAATGGCAAACTGCGCATCTCTACTCTTAGCTTACTTCTCTGCAACTCTCTTTCTCAGCTCTCCAAGTTCTAACTTAAGCATCGGAGTGTTCCCATAAGGAGAGCTCCCCGGGAATCCTTCAGCTTCTTCCTCGTAGGTATCTTGTCCGGCACCAGGTAGGAGCACAGCCTTTGCCAGTTAAGAGTGACCAGATTGCGCACCATCAGTTGCTTATAAAGAACGGTTACGAAACCTAAGAATTATGATTAGGAGGTCAAGTGGGAAAAAGGAAACAGAGCTTTTGGTTTGCAGGTATCTTAAATTGGGGGAAACATCTTGGCAAACAAAATTAGTTAAGACAGATGCTTATCCAAGAGATAATTACCATATCCTCTGCCTTTGTTGGGGTTCTTTTTTTTCTCTTGAAAATTGTTAAAGTACAAAAAATTTCAGTGATCATATGCAACTAGCTCCTATGTATGGGATCATTCTATATTTATAAAACAGAGGAAAGTATAATAGAAAGAGGAATGAATAGGAAATCGAAGAACATGGAGCTGGAGCTACTTATGATTTATTAAACAACCTTGCTTGCTATAGTGAAAATCTTTGAATGTAAAACAGCAAGCTTCATTTTATTCTTTTTCCTATACTGAGTAAAACACACAGATGGCATAAGATTCTGCAGGAATGATGCCTGGATGTAAGAGCACCTACTTATTATTATTATTATTATTATTATTATTATTATTATTATTATTGTTGTTGTTATTATTATTATTATTTATATATAAATAATTTATAAATAATTGTAATTTTGTTTTTTTATTTAAATTGTTATATTTTAATTTTTTTTAATAATTTATTAATTTTTAAAAAAATCAAATCAAATCGGATTAAATCTAAAAATTTGACTTCCTTATCAAATTCAAATTTAGATCATTTGTCGGTTTTAATCGAATTTACAATTAATAGTGTCGAATTAAATTTGGATATTATCCTGATTCGAATCCAATCTGATTCGCAAAAAAAGGTCTTCAAAATATAAGGAAGTGTAGGTAATGGCATAATGCTCCCTGGACGTAATAAAAATAATTCTTTCCCAAAATTTCCCAATATGTATGCTGGTTCCATACTAAAGGAACCCTCTATAGGTTGGCCCATTCCCTTGTCTACTAGTTGTGTACTTGTATTAGACAAATTTGTGCTCATGTTGACCCGACTTAGATGAGGGGTTTGTGGTAAATCAGTAAGATCGGATCTGAATGGATGAAAGGATATTTGTGATGTGCATGTGGGGCGCCTGTGGTACGGAGATGTGCACGTATGTCGTTGATGTCATCTCCATTTAAACGTATCATAAACTGAATAAAATCGCAAAAAGATATCGTAAATAAATAATAGAGGTTTTTATTGTTCAGTCCGCCTTAAAAATCTGACCTCACCGTACAGGTGGAATGAATCTGACCTTAGATGGATGTCAAATCCACGGCCACGATGCGGTTTATAAGAGGGGGGAGGGGGGATACCAGTAGATTAGGATGCGGTTTATTGCGCAGGACATCCGATGCCTTGTGCACTTACGCAACGTGTGGAAGGAATGAGAAATCGTCCGAAGAGTAGACAGGAAACGTTCGAAGTGAAGTGATAAGTCAACAAAGATCAACTCTCCAGCTCTGTGTCTCACTGCTCAACGCAAGAGTCGAAGCTCTGAAACTGATCGGAATCATCATGGATCCAAAGGAGCAAGAGGGGTCACAGCCAAAATGGGAAGGAAAGGCATGCGCGTCGCTGAGAGGGATAACAGCTGACCAAGTATGGCCTCTCTTGTCGGACTTCTTCAACGTGCACAAGTGGTTCCCCACCCTCGCCACCTGCTACGCCATACACGGCGTTTCCGGACAGCCCGGATGTGTGCGTTACTGCGCCGGCTCCTCTATCCCATCCAACAGCGGCGGCGACACCAGGCCAACTGTAAGTTGGGCCACCGAGAGGTTAGTACACATCGATCCGATCGGTCGAAGCTTCACCTACGAGATCGTTGATAGCAACGTCGGATTCAACTCCTACGTTTCTACGATGAAGGTGGTGCCCGATGATGAACATCAGCTGGGCGGCTGTAAGATTGAATGGTACTTCGCCGTTGATCCAGTCCAGGGTTGGAAATTAGAGGATTTAATTTCCAAGTATCAAACGGGACTGCAAAACATGGCCAATAAAATGGAGGAATCTCTGATGAATAACCCTACTTGAAAAACAAATTAACAGTATATTATATTATATAACTAAATAAATATCTTTGTCGCTGTTTGTTGTTGTCAGCTTTCACTTAGTTGTCAATTGTTTGGATTTATCTATTTTAACAAGAGTTTGTTTGAGTGTATGAAACACTTGTCACAAATCGAATGGAGTTTATGACAGATGACAAGTGCAGTGCAAACAGGCGCAACAGATGTGGAGAGTTTGATAGATTAAAGGGGTGTTTTATGATGTTTAATTATTTGTTTTTGAAATTATTACATACAAAAGAAATAAAAACATGTTCTTGCATTGTGTTTTTTTATTGTTTTGTTTTGAGAAGCAAAATGTAAGATAATTTTGCTTTGAAAACCATAATTTTGATTGTTTTGTTTCGCTTAAAACAAAAACAAATTTCATGAGACAGGTAATTTATGAAACATGATATTATTAATAGCCGGATGAAAACATATTTTGAGGTGGCAGATGCATATTCCCTATACCTAGAATTGAAGAATATGAATCTGGTTTTAGTTTTGAAATACAAAATATATATATATATATATAAACACATATTAACCAACATGTTTTCTGTATTTTTCGTTTTAAGAATTAATTTTTTTCTAAACAAAATATTTTGATTTATTTCAGAAAAAAAACCAATTCCCGTTGGAGAACACACCCTAATAGAATCAGATGTCTTTGGTCGTTTCTACTTTCTACAGTGGAATATTAATCAAAACTAGATGAATTAAGTCAGACAAGGCCGTCTAAGCATACTCGTAACGTGTAACGCTCACCACCACAAACATAAATCAGGGGTTTTCTCATGATTACCAACCCCATTACAGTGTTAAATAATGGTAGCTGGTTGGTAGAGGATCAATACTCATTGTAGTAGAGACCTGGGCTACCACTAAGATGAAAGGGGTTAAATTTTTAGGTCTTATTTGTTTTTCAGTAAATGTATTTATACTTATCCAGGGAACCTGTGTCTTTATTCATGTTCTTTTATTTCTTATATAAATATGTTAGTGGTTATTTTATTCATAAAAATTCATCACTAAAAGGGGTATTTTTGTCACATTTAAGTATTGACAAATTTCTCCTATGTGAAAAAGTTATTTACCCACACAGGATATACTTAGAAAATAAATTTTTCCTTGTCCCCATATAAATCTTATAAAAGAATATGTGTTTTTTTGTCAATAGGAATCAAAATCTCATTAACCAACTTTCTCCCATCTCAAAATCTAAAAAACAAACACCCCCTTGAAGGGATGGAGGATGGGCTCTATCAATACTCTTTTCTCCTACCCTACTTTCTATTTTTTTCTTCTTTCTCCTTTCCTAGTTTGATCATGCGTTCAAGATCAAAACTGTAGTTATCTATCATACGCTCCTAAATTATTGGCAAGATCGCCTTAGTGAAACCTTCTAAGAAAACATAGGCTTATCTTCACCGCCTGCTTTATAACTTTTATTTTAATGTGTGTTGAAGAGAACCCTTAAATAGAGCATCTTTTAGTATTAAACTACTGATCGTGTGGTGGTATTTCATTTTTTGCATGTATAAATCTTTTAATCCGTATGGCATTAATGTATCTCACTCAAATAAATCATGCAGGGAAATCATATCTGGACTTTGATTATATATAGTGTTTTTTAGGTTTAATCCACATCATAATAGGAGAATGATGGTTCAGCCTAGGATTAAATTTTTTAGGCCTAAAGTAGAAGGATCTGTTCCTCACATAAGGCGCCTCATACGCACCTCATATACACATTCTACCATTCATTAGGAATATCTTCCGTACTTATAAATTATTATTCATGGGAGATATTTCCAATGCATGGTGAATATGCATATGAGGCACGAGCAGATCCGTTCCCTAAAATATAGTTAGAGTAGGTGCCAGCTTGATTTCCGAATTTCCCCTCATGTATATCACCTTCCGTTAGGAGAAGTCAAATCGATCAGGGAATCTTGCACATGCAATATCACCTACAGTCCAAATGAGTCCAAATGACACCTTGATTTCTTCCTTTCCATCATTTATTGATGAGAAAATTGCAGCCCAAAGAATCTTGCCACGAAACCAAGCTCCGATCGATCTTGTGGTCATATTTTAACTTTTCAAATACCGAAAGGACAAAAGGTTGTCATGGCTAACAACATCATCATCATCAGTGACCTTTCCACATCTTGTTTAAAGTTGCATTTTGCATTTTCTATTTTAAGGATTTATCTTTCTTTTGTATTTAAAATGACCTTATGAGTTTTCAATTGCAAAAAATGAGATAAAATCTTTAAAATAAAGAATGTCAAATGCAGTCATGGTTTTGGCGGATTTTTATGGGTAAGCCACCTGATTAACTGATGAAACCAGGACAAAGAGAATATTCCGATTATTTACTCAGGTCCGAGTTTTAAAACATTGGTTTGAATTAAAACTGGCAAAAAGTTGATCTAACCCATAAACCCGACCCGACCTGAAAATAGGGTCAATGTCTCATACCTAGCTGCCTAAATTTGAGAATGACCCGACCCAATCCCACTTAGGAAAAACTGGGTTGGGTAATAGGTCAACTTGATTGTCAAGTCTAATTGGAATTATTTAGGTATTATTAGAAGTTTTCACTCTTTAATATTTACTATTTAGTATTTACTCTTTATTGTTTATTCTTGGATTTGTTAAAAGTTCAAGTTTTTTTTTAATTTTATGTTTGGAAGTTTAAGAGTAATTCCTTTAATTTTGAAAATTTTCATATATTTTTATTTATTCTTTAAAATTCCACTTATTTTTAAAATAACCCAAATTGACCCATGGCTCAACTCTAATTCGAACATTTAGAGTTAGGGTCTAGCATTTACTCACCCAACTCAAAATGCCTTCACCCAACCCAATTGCCAGGTCTAATTCGAACCATAATTGAAAAGGTAATCTATCTAATAGCCAATTTAGCTTATATACCTACGTGTATCTATTAGTTGTTTATTTTTAGAATAAAATGGATTTTATTATAACTCCCTGGATTATGGGGTGGTCAATCCTTGATCAACATGTTATCCATTAATTTGCCCATATTTTATTGGTTGCTCTCTCAATTATTTTTTCATTGATTTTTTTTTCTTTTTGTTGCGATGTTAGTTTGTTCATGCTTTAACTTATTGGGTAGTTGCAAGAAAATGTTAGAATCATATCACCAGTTCACCACAGGATGTGATGTATGATTGCAGCGTTATTTTGCAACAACTAATAAGAAAACTTGCCATATATTTTATTAATTTTAAATTACAAAAAAGTGCCAAAATTCTATCTCCTTACACCGTTTCTCCTCGCAATTCTCCAATGAAACACGAAGAAACTTTTGCTATTTTTGGTGGGCCTTATTCACCGTGGTCACACCTTGCTTGTTGAAACTTGAAAAATTTATATAATTTTTTTTAAGTCGGAGGCAAAAAAAAAATTATTTCAAAACAACAAGTTACATCTCATTCAGAAATATAGACATGATGAAATCTGGAGGAGTCGAACGGGTCATAGCATTATTGTATCTGATAGCATGATTTGCTAGCCAGTGGGCTAAGCAATTACAAGATTGAGATGTATGAATAAAACTGGTTGACACAAAGCCAAAAGCACGATACCTACATTCTAGAATAGTAGAATGTAATTTTCAAAGAGGGTCTACACCTTAAGAGAGAATGTCGATGATGTGTTTTGCGTCACTTTCAATGATGAGAGTCACAAGGTGCATTGCAATGACACACCTCAAACCTTCCAAAATTGCTAAGGCTTCAGCTTCTACCAGGGAAGAACAATGGAGGGGAGTACATCTACCTAGTATGAAATAGCCCTTGTGATCTCTGATAACAATTCCAAAAGCCGAGCGAGAAGCACTCCACGCCCCATCTGTATTAATTTTAATGACCCCAGTAGGAGGCTTGATCCACTTCTGAATTGGCTGAGGATCCGTGCTGATTTGAGAGTGAACACTGTTAGTGTTTGAATATGAAATAGTAGATCTGGAAAGTAAGGCACAATGAGCGTCAATGGCTACAAGCGTCTGTAGTGGATTAAAAGGGTGTTGCTCAAATTTCGCTTTGTTTCTATGCTTCCAAATGAACCACATTACAAACAAGAATGTTGATTCCTTATTTTGTCAATATGTCTCCAATGTTGTAACCAATAACGTAAATTATTGTTTTTGGTATTCTCAGTTCGGATACCCAAGGAGGCAAACCATATGGGCTGAACAGTTGGACATTGAAATAAGAGGTGATTCTAAGTCTCATCCAAAACTCTACACAAGTAGCAAGTTGCTTCAATTTTAGTTGATCTTTTAGCTAGCTCTGCATTAACTGAAATAACTCCCTTACAGCATCTTCATAAGAACATCTTGACATAGGGAATTTAAAGTTTTCATTTTCCACAATTCTTTCCAGCTAAGATTTTCGTAAACCCGGGAAGCATGAGAAGATTCTGAAAAATCTTGACACAACAGTTTATATCCAGAATTGCAAGAGAAACCTTCCATGAGGAGTAAATGACCAAATCAGCTTGTCATTAGTTAAAGGATTCACCTAAGGGATAACGATCTTTCTAATCTAGTTATAATGTCCTCGTCAAAGAGCATATGTAAGAGTTGGGTGTTCCACGTCCGTGAGTTCTGATTCATGAGCATGGCCACCTTGCTGCAAACAAGATCCCAGTTATTTGGCTTTTCAATCAGTCCATTAGGAATCCACAGACCTTTGAAAATATCTACATCCCAACCGTTTGAAATTAACCATCTACAACCCTTAAGGGGATCTTCCCGGCAAACTAATAGACTGGACCACAACAATGAGTGTGAACTTTTATGATTTTGTTTCCAGAAATTTGATGAGGTAAGATACTTTTCTTTAAGTATTTTAACCCATAAAGAATCAGTTTCTATGAGAAAATGCCAAGCCAACTTAAGTAAGAGAGCTCTGTTCATCAAACTTGGGTCTCTAAAGCCAAGACCCCCTTTCTCCAAAGGGAGTGAAAATGACGTCCATGCTTTTAGGTAGATGAGTCTTTCTTTTGATGCCTTTCCCACCAAAAATCACGGCAAATTGATCTTAGCTCCTTGCAGATAGAGGATGGAAGAGCATAGGTTGTCATATGGTAAAGGGGGAGGGAAGGTAGAGTAGATTTAATGAGAGCAGATCTACCTAATTGAGAGAGGATTCCTGATTTCCATTTCTTAAGTTTTGACCTTGCTTTATCT